CTTTTCCCTTAACTCCCCCATCTTTTGTCTCGCAAAGTCATCGTCTCTGAGCAGTTGCATCAGTTCGTCGTCCTTGACCAACGCCCTCCCACACATCCATTTGCTCTCGGGGAACATCAGTCTAGCAACCAGAGGCCCTTCTTCCGCCAGATACTCCGGTTTCCGTGATAGTGCATCCGCCCTCGCATTCTGCTCTCCTGGCACATATTGGATCTTAAAGTTAAAGTTGGCAAAGAACTCCGCCCATCTTATCTGTCTCTGGCACAAAACCCATGCCGTACGCCAGTACTCCAAATTTTTGTGGTGGGTGCACACCAAAATTTGGTGCCTCGCTCCAATCAGGAAATGGCGCCATTGTTTGAATGCAGCGACGATCGCAAGCAATTCCTTATCGTAGATAGTGTAGTTTTGCTCCAATTTATTCAGTTTCCGCGAAAAAAAAGCACACGGCCGCCACTCCCCCTTTTGATCTGGCTGCAGCAACACCGCCCCTATCGCCCGATCAGAAGCATCCGTCTCAACTCGCAGTGGTTGATCGGGGTTGACGTGGAGCAGTTGCTCCTCTGATGCGAAGACCCTCTTAAGTTTCTCAGACCCTTCTTGTGCCGCCTCCGTCCAACGAAACTTCTTCTTAGCACTAAGACAGTCCGTTATGGGCGCCGTCAGTTTCGCGAAACCCTTGATGAACTTCCTGTAGAAATTGCTGAAGCCCAGGAAACGCTGAATATCTTTCCTGGTCTTAGGGCTCTCCCATTCCACCACCGTCTTCACCTTCTCCGGATCCATGGCCAAACCCTTGTCCGACAGCCTGTAACCCAGGAACTCGACCTCTTTCGCATGGAACTGACACTTTTCCAACTTCACCCACAGCCGATGCTCCTTAAGTTTGCTCAGGACCTGACGTACGTCCTTCACGTGCTGTTTCTCGTTGTCCGAGTACACTAGCACGTCGTCCAAGAAACAAACGCAGTTCCGGTACAGCAAAGGCCCTAGCACGTGATGCATGAAGGCTTGGAAACAGGGGCTTCCGCACTGCAAACCGAAAGGCATGGCGAGATACTCAAACGCCCCCAGCGGGGTGAACATGGTGGTTTTCCACTCATCGCCCTCTCGCACTCTGATGAGGTTGTACGCCCCCCGGAGGTCCAACTTGGTGAAAATTTTCCCCTTCCGCACCCTGGCCAGAACATCGTCGATCCTCGGCATTGGGAAGGCCACGGGTTCCGTCAGGCTGTTCAGGATTCTGAAATCCACCACAAGTCTCTTCTCGTTAGTCGATTTCTTGTCCACGAAGAACACAGGGCTCCCCCCTGCCACCTTGGATTCCCTGATGAATCCCCTTTTTAGATTTTTCTCAATAAAGTCACTCAGGTCCTTGATCTCTCCCTCCGACATGGAGTAGATCTTTCCAACCGGCAGTGTGGCCCCCGGGATCAGGTTGATCTGACAATCATATGGTCGATGCGGTGGCAACATGTCAGCCTCCTTCTCGCTGAACACCTCCTGTAGATCCCTGTAACACGACGGGATCTCGCTCGTCCCCGCTCTGCATGCTGCTGCCATCCTGGCCTCCGTTTGTCGAGGTTGCTCTAGACCCAGGCAGTTCTCCATGCAGTGCGTCGAACCGAACGTCAGGGACCGTTGATGCCAGGAAACCACCGGATCGTGCAAAGCCAACCAGCTCATGCCCAGTATGATAGGCGGACCCGCCAACGTGGCCACGTGAAAGGCGATGACCTTGGAGTGGGTAGACACCCGCATCCTCATTGGAGGTGTTCGATGGGTCACTTCACCTCCCAACAGTTCTCTCCCATCAATTATAGTGACTTGCAGAGGAAAATCCAAAGGCCTCAGGTTCACTTGGTGCTGTGCTGCAAACTCCTTGCTGAAAAATGACGCCGAAGCTCCTGAATCAACTAAGGCCAACTCCTCCACCGCATGGCCATTTGGGAGCTCTAGGACCACCTTCATCACTATGCTTGCTTTGGGGTGTCCGAGCCGAGGACTTTCGCTGTTGCTCCCACCTGGCTGTTGCCCAGGTTCACCACCAGCCAGGCTTCCCCGTTTCCCGAAGTCTGGGGTTCCTCTGCCTCTGCCTGTTGGGTGGCCCCAACCATTCCCTGCCAGTTATGACGCTCCAGACAAACTCTGGCAAAGTGCCCTGTTTTCTGACAGAAAAAACATCTCTTGGCCGCTTGCCAGTCTTTTTTATCCTTGCCGCCCGACCGTTGAGCTTTCAAACTTTCCCACGCGCGGGCTGAGTCTATTTCCATGGGCTCCAGCTGTTGTTGACCTTCTGAGGCAGCTGCCGGCATTTCAGGAATGTGGTTACCATGGAAACTCCGCTCCTTGCCCTGCTTCCTTTCCCACAGTCTGGCTTCCTGCCTCAGCCCCACCGCAAGAGCAGCCTTCGTTAACCCATCCATATCCTTTGGGGGGGGGGCCCTAGCAAGCTCGTCCTTGACTTCAGCGTTCAATCCAGCCTTAAACAAAGCTTGCAAAGGCTCTGATTCTAAATCCCATCCCAGTTTATGCACAAGCATGGCGAATTCTGACCAGTAACTATGCACCGTGGATTTGCCTTGTTTCAAAGCCAAAAGCTCCTCCTGCGTCTTGTCAATTAAACTTTGATCTGCGTAGATAAAGTCCATCGCTTGCCAAAACTTGGGCAGACTTCGAAGCGCTTCATTACTAGAGGCTATTAACGGCCGGACCCAACTTTTAGCCCCCCCCCCGACAGGTGACTAATTATGTGAGCAACTTTCTGAGCATCGTCGGCAAACTGAGCTGCTTGCAGCTCCAAAAAATATCTCATCTCAGTCTTAAAATCCAGGCTCGCCATTAAACTTTTCCACCCACGCAGCTTTGCCCCCTGCCAGTAGCCCACCTGTGGCTCCCTTCTGAGCAGCTCTGGCTTCCTCCAGACGGGACTGCAGGTCCGAAGTGCGGGCTTCCAGTCCGGCATTTCTCTTCCTCAGTTCAGAAATCTCTTTCTCCATTCTTGGGCTATTTCCTCTTTTCACTAGCCTTCAGCAGCAATGGATTTGAGGCATGCTGTGAGGTGTTAATGCTGCCAAAACTAGCAGAGATAATGCTCCAGGCACACACCCATTTCTGTCCTGAAGATATATTGCCAAAAGTTCAAAACGGTTACAAGAGTTCAAAAGGCACGTCCATGCCTATCTCAGTCAGATGCCTCGAATGACAATCTTTTACTCCTCCTCCCCCAGCAGGCCCATCGCCGCAATGCACGCCTCCTACTTCCTCTGTTCTGTGACTAGCTAGTTCCGGGCACTGATTCCCCCCTCCCTATTTCCTCCTCTGAGCCAGATGAGAGGCTGCTGATAAGCTCTTTTGGCTCTCTATAATTGCTTGTCTCCCCCCTCGGCTCTCTAGCCGTTTCCACTTCCCTGACATAAACTGTGGACCAAATTAGAACACCTCAGTATTGACCCATACCTGCTTACATTGATTCAAAGTTTACACTCCAATAACCAAACATATGTTAAAGTTTCAAAAGATGGTAGACTTGTAGGCCCAATTCTGAATAACCGAGGAGTTAGGCAAGGCTGTATCTTGGCCCCTACTCTATTTAATCTCTTTTTATCTGACCTTTCATTATCTCTTCAAAATGTAACCACTCATATCCCTTATTTAAATAATATCCCAGTTTTTTATTACTTTATGCAGATGATGTGGTAATTATCTCACTTTCCTCTTTGGGTTTAAAAAAATTATTTAAGAGCTTCTCAAACTTTTGCTCTCTTAATAACCTCAAAATTAACTATGATAAGACAAAAAATATGCAATTTTCCAAGAGAGGGAACGCCAAAAATTGGATAATCAATGGACATCTAATACAAGAAGTTAAGCATTTAAATTACCTGGGAATTGTATTTAAAAATAACATGAATTGGAACACACATATCTGTGCTGCAATAGTTAAGGCTAAAGTGACAGCTCACCATATTAAATCCTTTTTTTTTCTCCTGTAGGAAATAGATATATTCCAGCTGTATTGCAAGTGATTGATATGACACTTTGTGCCCAACGTTTATATGGCACCCCAGTGTGGATTTCAGGTGACCTTAAGAGGTTGGATAAATTTCATGCATCCCTTCTGAGGTCATTATTAGGACTTGCAAATTCTGTTAAATATGAATCAATATGTTGTGAGTTGGGAATACTTCCTTTATCAGTAAGAGTATGGTTGAGAACCTTGAAATATTGGATCTTCCTGCATTATAGAGTCCTATCTCCTAACTCTCTCCTTTATGATCTCTTAAGTGATAATGTAATTTACAATTTATCATTGATTTGTAGGAGAAAATTGAACTCAATAGGGCTTCATCTAGTTGACTTTGAAAATTCTGACCCCAAAGATACTTGGGAAATTATCAGGAAGAATTTTACAGGAAAAAGTGTTCTCTCCACTCTCGAGGTTGCAAAGCACAGCACTTGCTCTCCTCTCTATTTAAATCTCCCTTTGTGTAGAGATTTTCAAAAGGGTTACATGACAAATCTGAAGAATCATGAACTGTGCAGGCTGTTTATGCTAGCCAGATTTAATATGTTTCCCTTGATGATAGTAAGAGGAAGATATTTAGTCTGAAGATTTATTGCTCAAAGAGAAAAGGTCCGGCAGGCTTCTGCTGCGCAGCACGCATTCCAAAGCTCTGAGCAAAGCAGAGTCACACAGCAGAATTATTTACAGCAGAATCTAGCCATTATCCAGCAACGCACGGAACATTGCACAAACGTGTCTGTCCCGGAGAAAAGCGAAAGCAGACAGAACAAAGAACTGAGACTCTCGGAAGTGAGAGTCTCTCTGCCCCACAATAGGCAGGACGCACACTCTGAGCTGTTTAAACCTGTAAGTTCAGGTTCTCCTCACATTTAGCTCTCCCAGAAGCAGAGCGCCTCTGCAAATGTGGTAGGCAGGAACCTGATACTTTGGAGCATATTTTCTTTTCTTGTGAGTTTGGCATTTATGCCAGAAGACAATTGTTAGAGGCCTTACAACCTAACAGGCTCGGTTCTATGCCGCCAACGGTTCAGGACCTGCCATCGAACAGGAATGATCAAATTACTTTGATAGTGGCTACATTTTTGAGTGCTGTCCATGTGGAAAGACTGGGCCATTATAGAGAGATTTAGTGGTTCTTGATTGGTCGGTGATGTTGTAGTGTTAGACTGTATTATTTATGCAAATTGCTATGCCGAATTCGTATTTTCCACAATCTGTATACGGTGCTTGTTTTATAATGTGTGGTTTGCTATGCCTAATAAAGGATTGATTGATAAAGAACTCAGCTTGACACCAGTGCTTCTAATCTAAAACTCTTTATTTAGTAGCATTCAAAACAGAAAACAGAATCTAGCTGCCTGTTCGCAGCTTTCTGCCTCTTAACAAAAACGAAACGACCTTGCTCACATTCTCAGACAGACTGCTCTCCAGAGAGAGCTCAGCCCCCACAGAGCACAGATCAAAGGAAAAAAGCACGGATCATGTGGGCAGTGCACCCAGTTGATAAGAACGCTCCTGGAGTGTTAACTCCTGACAGTCCAGAACCACAACACCTTTCAGCACTTTTATTAGTATCAAACAGAAATACACAGAGACCATGCAATGTACTCCCTCAAGCTTGAGCTGTTACCCAGAGTGCCTGCTCCCCCCCCCCCCGGCAGCTAACTTCCTAGCTCTCAGACCCCTCCTGCTGTCTACTCTTGGGAGACATAGTGTCAATTGGCTGCTGTATTGTTTCTAACACATCTGACTTCTGTCTCTGTTCATGGCTAGTGCACCTACCAGCTCGCTCCTGTTCTTCACTATCCATAATTTCCCAGCTCTTTTCTTTTTCTTGGGTGTGTCCTGTCTCCCACCACCATGAACCATATTCTCTGCACCTGCCCCCTGACTGGAAGCTTTTTGTTGTTGTTTTTCAAATGATCTTTATTGAATTTTTAGTTACATACTATACATACACATACATTATGTTTCACATTTGTTCTTGCTCTCCCAAGCTGACTTCCCTCCTTCCTCCTTCCGGCTTTTTTATGTCATCTTTAACTTTTCGCATTGTCTTTGTCCATTTTATATATAATTGTTCTTCTTCAATTTTTTCCATAAAGTGTCTGTAAACAAATAAATCTTTCTATATATACAATTCTTGTTGTCTGTCTATATTCATTTACAAATATTGTTCAACAATAGTCCTAATATACATTTTTAATTCATTTTGATATTATTATACAATAAATTTCTTGTGTTTTCTCGTTATAAGGTTTATTTTAGTTCTACTGGTTTCCCTATTTCACATCATCGTCTGTAAATATAACATAAATTTCCCCCATTCTTTTTGATATGTTTCGTCACCCTGATGTCGAATTTTTGCTGTTAGTTTGGCTATTTCTGCATACTCCATAACCTTGTACTGCCACTCTTCTATTGTAGGCAATTTTTGCTGTTTCCACACCTGAGTCAGCAATAACCTCGCTGCTGTTGTTGTGTATAAGAACAGTTTCTGGTCATTCTTGTCAATATCCTCTCCCCCCATTCCCAACAGTAATGACTGGTTTTTTCAAAAACGTATACCTAAAAATCTTCTTTAATTCGTTATATATTTTTTTCCAATACGTTTTCACTATGTCAAATGTCCACCACATGCGGAAGAAACTGCCTTCTTTCACCCCACGCTTCCAACAGTTCTTATTTCCTGTTTTATACATCCTTGACAATTTAATTGGCGTGAGGTACCATCTGTACATCATTTTAAACAGATTTTCTTTTAACAATGTACAAGCTGTAAATTTTAGGCCGGTGTTCCATAATTTTATCCACTTTTCATACTCATTGTTGTGGCCTACATCTGTTGTTGTTGTTTAGTCGTTTAGTCGTGTCCGACTCTTCGTGACCCCATGGACCAGAGCACGCCAGGCACTTCTGTCTTCCACTGCCTCCCGCAGTTTGGTCAAACTCATGCTGGTAGCTTCGAGAACACTATCCAACCACCTCGTCCTCTGTCGTCCTCTTCTCCTTGTGCCCTCCATCTTTCCCAACATCAGGGTCTTTTCTAGGGAGTCTTCTCTTCTAATGAGGTGGCCAAAGTATTGGAGCCTCAGCTTCAGGATCTGTCCTTCCAGTGAGCACTCAGGGCTGATTTCCTTAAGCATGGATAGGTTTGTTCTTCTTGCAGTCCATGGGACTCTCAAGAGTCTCCTCCAGCACCATAATTCAAAAGCATCAATTCTTCGGCAATCAGCCTTCTTTATGGTCCAGCTCTCACTTCCATACATCACTACTGGGAAAACCATGGCTTTTACTATACGGACCTTTGTTGGCAAGGTGATGTCTCTACTTTTTAAGATGCTGTCTAGGTTTGTCATTGCTTTTCTCCCAAGAAGCAGGCGTCTTTTAATTTCATGGCTGCTGTCAGCATCTGCAATGATCATGGGGCCCAAGAAAGTAAAATCTCTCATTGCCTCCATTTCTTCCCCTTCTATTTGCCAGGAGGTGATGGGACCAGTGGCTATGATCTTCGTTTTTTTGATGTTGAGCTTCAAACCATATTTTGCGCTCTCCTGTTTCACCCTCATTAAAAGGTTCTTTAATTCCTCCTCACTTTCTGCCATCAATGTTGTGTCATCTGCATATCTGAGGTTGTTGACATTTCTTCTGGCAATCTTAATTGGGATGAATCTTAATTGGGATGAATCTTAATTGGGATGAATCTTAATTGGGATGAATCTTAATTGGGATGAATCTTAATTGGGATGAATCTTAATTGGGATGAATCTTAATTGGGATGAATAGGGATTCATCCAGGCCAGCCTTTCGCATGATGAATTCTGCATATAAGTTAAATAAGCAGGGAGACAATACATCTATTGCCCACTTAATCATGACACTTTTGATTTCTTCATCTTTTGTCTGCCATTCTAGTAAATACTCATAGACCTTAGACAGTGTTTTTTTGTTATTTTGTAGTACTGCAGTTTCTAGTATTGATTTTGTTTGTTCATACCCTCTTGCTTTCTTATCTTTTGAGAAGATGTCATTCATTTGATGGTATTCCATCCAACTTGATAATTTATCTTTTAATTCCTCATAAGGTTTGATCTTAATTACATTATTCTCTTCAAATAACATGTCTCTATAGGTCAACCATTTTCCTTTCATATTTAGTCATTTCAGCGAAAATGCCTCTTGGGGTGACAGCCACCATGGTGTCTTCCTTTCAAATCACTCTTTATATCTTATCCAGACTTCAAATAGTGGTCTTTTTATGATGTGATTTAAAAAGTCCCGATGTACTCTGACCTTGTCATACCAAAGGTATGCATGCCACCCGTATCTGTTTCCGAACCCCTCCAGATCTAATATGTCTGTATTTTCCAAGCTGAACCATTCTTTTAACCATTATATACACGCAGCTTCATAATATATTTTGAGGTCCGGTAATGAAACTTATCCGTTAAAAGTTTTATTTTATTCTAGGCTTTCCCCCCTGCCATACAAACCTAGAAATCACTTTTTGCCACTCATTGAATTGGCCTTGTCCTGTTATAATTGGAATAGTTTGAAATTAAAAAAGCATCTTCGGTAGGACACTCATCTTAATAGCTGCTATCCTTCCACATAAGGATAGCTTCAGTCTGTCCCATATTTCCAATTTTGTTTTTACTTCTTTCCATGCTGTTTTATAATTATCCTTAAATAGGTTTGTATTTTTTGGGGAAAGCCAAACACCCAGATATTTTCTTTTCTTTACCGTTGTTATTTCTGTTTTGCTTTGTAATTGGTCTAATTGTTCCTCATTCATGTTTTTTACCATCACTTTTGTTTTACTTTTATTAATTTTAAATCCTGCCATCCCTCCAAATTCTTCTATTACTTTTAATGCTTCTACTATCGAAGTTTGAAGTTCTTGTAATGTCAGGACTATGTTGAAGGGAAGTTCTGTCTCTGCACATGACTGTGGCATGATGGGAAGTCCTGCTTCTAAGCTTTTCTCTGGCATTATGGGAAGTCTTGCTTCTAAGCTTTTCTCTGCTTCTGTACATACTGCACAACCCGTTCTAAATACCAATACATTCCCTCATTTCCCTAGGATGTTCAGTTCATCTTAAGTTCATGAAAACATTATACTCTGACTGACCTGTTCTTAATGCATAGTTGACCACATCTACGGAACACGATTATTATATTCTTTCATGTTATGATCAATCATTAGTAATTGTTTTAGTCATGCTATATCAATCATTAGTTATAATTTAATTAGGAGGTTTCATGCCTGTCTAGTTCTGTGCTCCCTTTCCCAGCCTTTAATCTATTGGTGATTAATGCCTATATGTAACCCTTGCCTTGTACTTGTGTTAACCAATCAGCAACAAGTTGCTTTGTGTTTGTATCAACCAATCAGCAACGAGCGCACCTGTGGCAATGTTGTAATATTCAATAAAAGAGTCTTCTCGGGGCTTGCTCAAGAGATGCCTCTCACATGACACCTGCTACTCGTCTGTCGTTACTTCAACCCAACATCTGGTGACCCCGACGTGATTGCCAGATCCCTTACGCAGCCAGCCCTCAAATTCACTCAACTGGAAAAGTCTCAGCTCGCTATTTCGTGAGTATGGGAGGGGAACTGACTAAATTCCAAAAAGAGCATGCTAAAGAATTGCTTCATCTTGTTAGACAGCGGGTGGCGGGTGTTCATATTTCTTTAAAAGATATTGAACGATTGCTATGCGAGATTGCTTGCCAGTGCCCTTCCTATCCAGAAACTGGTTCTTTGGAAGTAGAAACTTGGCAAAAGATCGGAAAGACCCTCTTTGCAGAACCGAGGGCTCCGATTCATTGTCTGCTCACTTGGCAGAAATGTGCAGATGCCGTTGCTAAATTAGGACCTCAGGCGTCTCCTTCGGCCCCTGCCCTTTTAGCCGTTGCAGACAATCCCCCACCTTACCCCAAGCTTTTGCCTCCTTCGCAACCCTGCCAACCCCTCCCTACGTCTCAACCGTCTCAGCCTGCATCCTCCCCCCCATCCCTCCTTCGCCTGCCACAGCCCCTGCTTGCTCTACAGGAGCTGTGCGCACTGCGCTTTCTCTGGCTAGGCAGAAAGGGCTCCTGTCCTTAGAGGAAGAGTCTGAATGGGCTGGTGAAATGCCATCTGCTTTCCCTATCACCTATACAAACCCAGGAACTGCTCAACAGCAGGTATTGTACGAGACGCTTCCTTATTCTGTAATGAGAGAATTAAGGAAAGCCATTACTGATTCCGGTCTAAAAT